GAACAGCAGCAGAAGCACTGATGGGTCTAATGTTTTCACTGGATTTGAACATGAAGTATTCGTTTAGGCGATTAGACCCTGGCAGGAAACTGCTGAGGTCTGCAGGAGGAGGTTAGATGATGAGGAGCCTGTGAACCCCGGGGCCTAGACCCAAAGACCTGCTGCTCCACTAAAGAGGCGGTGATGGGGAGGAGGAGGGTTGCTGCTCAAACAGAAGCTTGAAAATGCAGAACTGAGAGGCTCTGTTTAAATGCAGACATGAAGTGATGATGAGCACAGGTACAGGTGTGCAGAGGGGGAGGAGTCAGTGCAGAGGGGAGGAGTCAGTGCAGAGGGGGAGGAGTCAGTGCAGAGGAGGAGGAGCCAGTGCAGAGGAGGAGGAGTCAGTGCAGAGGAGGAGGATCCAGTGCAGAGGAGGAGGAGCCAGTGTAGAGGAGGAGGAGTCAGTGCAGAGGAGGAGGAGTCAGTGAAGAGGAGGAGGAGTCAGTGCAGTGGGGGAGGAGTCAGTGCAGTGGGGGAGGAATCAGTGCAGAGGAGGAGGAGCCAGTGCAGAGGAGGAGGAGTCAGTGCAGAGGAGGAGGAGCCAGTGCAGAGGAGGAGGAGCCAGTGCAGAGGGGGAGGAGCCAGTGCAGAGGGGGAGGAGTCAGTGCAGAGGGGGAGGAGTCAGTGCAGAGGGGGAGGAGTCAGTGCAGAGGAGGAAGAGTCAGTGCAGAGGGGGAGGAGCCAGTGCAGAGGGGGAGGAGCCAGTGCATAGGAGGAGGAGCCAGTGCAGAGGGGGAGGAGCCAGTGCAGAGGAGGAGGAGCCAGTGCAGAGGGGGAGGAGCTAGTGTGGCGGCAAGACATCTATTTTGGTCCAGTCTGAATTTACCTCTGTATTTAGCTCAAGCTTAAAGGAACAGGCCCCGTGTTTACAGACTGACACATGTTCTTACCTTAGACATGTTGATATGAACCTGTGTGGTCTGTGTCCGTGTGCTCTGTCATGCAAACGCAGCACAAACACAGCCTCTTCCACAGACTGTATAGTTCCAAATCAGCTCCCGTTAGAAGCTCCCAAACTCTTCCACGTGTTCCCTATTTAAATACAGTTTCGTGACGTGTTACTCTACAAAGTATAGTAACACAGAAGATAAAAATAGGAACTATATTGTGAGGCGTAATAATACGAGGAGCACTACGTCCGCGCACTAACTCCTAAAGACGTACTACAAGTCACGCTGCTTCTATTGACGGAAGTGAGCGGGAGAGAAGTCTGGAGTTAGTGCGCGGACGAAGCGCTCCTCATATTATTACGCCTCACAATATAGTTCCCCTTTTTATCCGCTGAGAAAATGGACATGTTTCTCCTCTGTGTTTCTATACTTTGTAGAGTAACACGTCACGTTACTGTATTTAAATATGGAACACGTGGAAGAGTTTGGGAGCTTCTAACAGGAGCTGATTTGGTACTATACAGTCTGTGGAAGAGGCTGTGTTTGTGCTGCGTTTGCATGACAGAGCACACGGACACAGACCACACAGGAACATCTCAACATGTCTGAGGTAAGAACATGTGTCAGGATGTAAACACGGGGCCTGTTCCTTTAAGCTTAATAGTAAGTTAAATATTAGGCTTAAGCTTAAGCGTATAGACCATTGACAGGGACTGGCCTCCTGCTGAGACAGAGGAGCACAGGGACTGGCCTCCTGCTGAGACAGAGGAGCACAGGGACTGGCCTCCTGCTGAGACAGAGGAGCACAGGGACTGGCCTCCTGCTGAGACAGAGGAGCACAGGGACTGGCCTCCTGCTGAGACAGTGGAGCACAGGTACTGGCCTCCTGCTGAGACAGTGGAGCACAGGTACTGGCCTCCTGCTGGGACAGAGGAGCACAGGGACTGGCCTCCTGCTGAGACAGAGGAGCACAGGGACTGGCCTCCTGCTGAGACAGAGGAGCACAGGGACTGGCCTCCTGCTGGGACAGAGGAGCACAGGGACTGGCCTCCTGCTGAGACAGAGGAGCACAGGGACTGGCCTCCTGCTGAGACAGAGGAGCACAGGTACTGGCCTCCTGCTGAGACAGTGGAGCACAGGTACTGGCCTCCTGCTGGGACAGAGGAGCACAGGTACTGGCCTCCTGCTGAGACAGTGGAGCACAGGTACTGGCCTCCTGCTGAGACAGTGGAGCACAGGTACTGGCCTCCTGCTGAGACAGAGGAGCACAGGGACTGGCCTCCTGCTGAGACAGAGGAGCACAGGGACTGGCCTCCTGCTGGGACAGAGGAGCACAGGGACTGGCCTCCTGCTGGGACAGAGGAGCACAGGGACTGGCCTCCTGCTGAGACAGAGGAGCACAGGGACTGGCCTCCTGCTGAGACAGAGGAGCACAGGGACTGGCCTCCTGCTGGGACAGAGGAGCACAGGGACTGGCCTCCTGCTGGGACAGAGGAGCACAGGGACTGGCCTCAATAGTCCACATTCGAGACCCCTCTTGCATAAGTTTGGCTGATTTAAGATCAGCAAAGGTTTCATTTGATTTTACTTTGTGCCAAGTCCAGTGGCTGCTCTTCTCTGGTGCGTGTGTGGCTATAGTCCCTCTCTCCTGGTGCGTGTGTGGCTATAGTTCTTCTCAGAGGCGTCCCTTGCCATTAGGCAAGGCAGGCAGCTGCCTGGGGCCCCCAGGAGTCTCTCCTGGTACGTGTGAAGGACCATCTGCAGCTGCCCTGTCCCTGCCGTGGCTCCTGCCGCGGCTGCCCTGTAAATCTGTAATAACGTGCAGATCTCCTGTTATTTGTCAGAAAGGATCAGGAGGAGTCTCGGTCCCTCTCTGCCACAGTAACAGATAAAGCCTTCGGGGGAAAATGGAAATATGCTTCTGTTTGGTCTCTTTGAAGAGGTACAGACCCTTCATGGTCCCCAGGCCACATCGGAATGTTGTTGTTGCTGGTGTCGGCCCCTGAGACTGTAACGGTGCTGGTTTCGTGGCCCGGGCTGGACTCGGATCTCATGGTTCTGGATCTCAACGTTTGATATCACACCACACGCTTCTGCTGCGGCGGAAATTCATTTAATGTCGAGTCATCATTAAAGGGTCCTATTCTGTCATCATTGAAGGGCCCTAATCTCTCATCATTAAAGGGCCCTAATCTGTCATCATTAAAGGGCCCTAATCTGTCATCATTAAAGGGCCCTAATCTGTCATCATTAAAGGGCCCTATTCTGTCATCATTAAAGGGCCCTATTCTGTCATCATTAAAGGGCCCTAATCTGTCATCATTAAAGGGCCCTAATCTGTCATCATTAAAGGGCCCTAATCTGTCATCATTAAAGGGCCCTAATCTGTCATCATTAAAGGGCCCTATTCTGTCATCATTAAAGGGCCCTAATCTGTCGTCATTAAAGGGCCCTAATCTGTCATCATTAAAGGGCCCTAATATGTCATCATTAAAAGGCCCTAATCTGTCATAATTAAAGGGCCCTTATCTGTCATCATTAAAGGGCCCTAATCTGTCATCATTAAAGGGCCCTAGTCTGTCATCATTAAAGGGCCCTATTCTGTCATCATTAAAGGGCCCTAATCTGTCATCATTAAAGGGCCCTAATCTGTCACCATTAAAGGGCCCTAATCTGTCCTCATTAAAGGGCCCTAATCTCTCATCATTAAAGGGCCCTAATCTGTCATAATAATAATCTGCTCTTTTCCAATACTTCTTTAACTGATAACAGTCGTTCAGAGATATTTGAATTTCTAAATTACTTTTCCAGTCCCTAAATCTTGTTATTGTTTTCATTTCGATGTCCCGCCCTCCACCGTTTCACCAATCAGAAAGTCTGTGATCCGGGCGCCAGAACTCACCGTGTGGAGCTAATCTCACTGGTAAAGTACCATGTGGCGCAGAACTAAAAAAGGTCTTGTTATGATTCTCAAATCATTAACGACAAAACAAGGAATAAAACCAGGATTTCTATCTTTGTGAAAAAGGTGTTGGTTATAGATTTGTTGTTGACAAAACTCTTGTCTATTCAGCTGTTATGGTCCCAGCTGGATTCGTCTGCATATCTGGCAACCTGAGTCAGGGAGAGTGGGAGAGGCTGCAGTACCACTTTCTGACACAAATGTACACACTGCTCCTTTAACAGGACACATTAGATGCACTTTGTGTGTGTCACAGTCTAATACTCTGTACAAAACTCAAAACATCTACTCTTTTGTTTTTGTCCTTAGTTTGCACCTCTCTCCGCACCTGGAGCCGTCCAGCACCATGGTGGCCCTGGAGTGGACCGACATAGAACCGGTCATCGGCTTCAAGATCTCGGACTACGTCATCCAACACAAGAGAGTGGAAGACCCTTCGGAGCCGGACGTCTACACAGGTGAGAGAGCCGGGGTCGTCCACCTGCTGGGTCTGGGTCTGAGCCGGGGTCGTCCACCTGCTGGGTCTGGGTCTGAGCCGGGGTCGTCCACCTGCTGGGTCTGGGTTTGAGCCGGGGTCGTCCACCTGCTGGGTCTGGGTCTGAGCCGGGGTCGTCCACCTGCTGGGTCTGGGTCTGAGCCGGGGTCGTCCACCTGCTGGGTCTGGGTTTGAGCCGGGGTCGTCCACCTGCTGGGTCTGGGTCTGGGTCTGGGTCTGGTATAGATCCTGGATTATTCATTAATAACAATAAACATGTTTTACTGAGGTTCATGGAGATGCAGCTGAACAAACAGTGTTTTCACTGGAGGCGCACAGTGGCTGAGTGGTTAGCACTCTCGCTTCTCTATAAGAAGGTCCTGGGTTCGAATCCCGGTTGGAACAGGGCTCTTTGATCTGTGGTTGTGTCCTTTCTCACTTTAGAGAAATAGTTCATATGATTTATTTTAGACTGAGAACTGGAGTGTGTGGTTAGAGGAGGGGGTCATCCATCAGGGAGGAGGCTGCTGAAGGAGGGAGAGGGGGGAGAGGAGGGGGGAGAGAGAGGAGACAGGGGGAGAGGAGAGAGAGGAGGGGAAGAGAGAGAAGAGAGGAGAGGGGAGAGAGGGAG